TGGCAGAGCCTTGGAGACTGTATCTCTCATGAGAGTCAAAGGATGTTAAAGAGTAAGTCATGGGGCTTATCTAAAGGGTACTCAGGCAGAGGGAGAGAAATGGTAAAGGCCCTGAGGCAGAGCCCTCCTTGTTCAGATGGTTGGGGCAGACCAAGTGAAGGGGGAAGAGGGACAGTGGCCTCCACTTTCAATGCAAGGATTTTTTTCATTTTTATTTATTTACTCTATTTATTTTTATTTTTATTTTTATTTTTTTTTGAGACGAGTCTCATTCGTCGCCCAGGCTGGAGCGCAGTGGTCGACTTACCACTTGCAGCCCCCACTCTGGGTCTAGCTATCATTCTCTGGGGCCTCCCTGCAGTGGGGCTGGGACCACAGGCGCCCGACTATCATTAGTTTTTGTATTTTTAGTAGAGACGGGAGCCACCGTGTTGGCCAGGGATGGTCTCTTATCTCTGACTCGTGATCCACCCGCCTCGGCCCCAAAGTGTTGGGACACATGACCCACTGTGGCCTGGCCCATTTTTATTATTTTTATTTTTTCTAAGACCAGGTCTTGCTCTGTCGCCCAGGTTGGGGTGCAATGGCGGGACTCGCTCACTATGGCCTCTGCCTCCTGTGGCCTCAAGCCGATTCTCCTGCTTTGCACCCCTCCTGCAGCTGAGATTACTGGGTCAAACCACAAAAGCCCAGCCAATTTTTTTTTTTTTTGAGACGAGTCTGGCTCTGTCGCCCAGGCTGGGGAGTGCAATGGATCTCTGGGTCACTGCGTGCCCGTCTCCTGGTTTACGCTATTCTCCTGCCTTGCCTCCGGTGCAGCTGGGACTACAGGCGCCCGCGCCATCTCACCCGCTAGTTTTTTTGTATTTTTAGTAGAGACGGGGTTTCACCCGTGTTAGCCAGGATGGTCTCGATCTCCTGACCTCGTGATCCGCCTGCCTCGGCCTCCCAAAGTGTTGGGATTACAGGCGCGAGCCACCGCGTCAGCCGTGGCCAATTTTTGTGGTATTTAAGAGAAATGGGGTTTCTGCTGGGACCAGCCTGGCCGCGAACTCCTGACCTCAAGTGATCTGGGCCAGCTTGGCCTTCAAAGTGTTGGGATTACAGATGGAACCTTCTGTAATCTGGCCCCAATTCTTTATTTTTATTTTAAATTGTGGTTTATTTTAGGACCAAATCTCACTTTTGTTGCCCCTATTGGAGCAGGCACAACTTCCACTCACTGCAACCTCTGCCTCCTGGGTTGAAGTGATTCTCCTGCCTCAGGCTCCAGAGTATTGGGGATTACAGGTGTGTGCCACCATGCCCAGATAATTTTTTTTGTATTTTTGTAGAGATAATAACGGCTAAGCGCAGTGGCCTCCTGGTCTCAGGGAATCCTCCTGACCCTCGGCCTCCCAAAACAACAGAATACAGACACGAGCCATGGCAACCACTATTTCTGGGACGCATTGGGACAGAGGGTGGCTTGATCACAAAGAGTCTCCAGAGGAGGAAGAAGGGATGGTGTCCTGAGACATTTAGGTGGTTAGCTACAAGTATCTTTTACTCAGGTGTGGTCTTGATTATGGGACACTTTGGCAGGCTTCATCCTCCCTTCCCCTATTATGTCTCTGGTTCTGTTAGCTTGTCAGTTACAGGGAGCTGGGCTTCCCTGTTAAGTGTCCAGCCCTGTCCTGGCCTCACCACAGGTGGAAGGCTGTGATTGTGAGGGGGAGAGGCTAGACAGGCCCCTTCTGGCCCTGGGTGCTAAAAGAATTCAAGGCCGGGCGCCGTGGCCTGGGCGCTCAGATCCCCAGGCACCTTGGGAGGCCGAGAGACGCCGCGGATCACGAGGTCAGGGAATCTAGACCATCCTATGGACGTGTGAAACTCCGTCTCTACTAAAAAAAAATAAAAACTAGCCGGGCGAGGTGGCGTGCGCCCCTGTAGTCCCAGCTACTCCGGGAGGCTGAGGCAGAGAATACGTAAAACTCCGGGGAGGTGGGGAACTTGGGCGGTGAGGGCCAGGTAGACCTGGCTACTGTATTTCCGAACCTGGCTGCTGGGAGTGAGACTCTGTCTCAAAAGAAAAAAGAATTCAGACCAGAAGAAGTATTGACCAGTTTGACCTTTGGGACCTTAGGGAGAATCCTCATGAGAGGCCTTGAGAGAGACGGCAGAGGCTTAGCTTCTTGACAGTCCCAGGGGGAGACCCAGGGCAAATTGTGCCCCACAGGGGGAGCCAGAGGTCCAACAACAACGGAAAATCAGGAAAATGAGGCGAGCAGCCAGGTGTGGAGGGTGCTACACCTGTAATCCCAGCACTGAGGCCGCAGTAGCTGATGATCACTTGAGGTCAGGAGTTCGAGACCAACCTGGCCAACATGGTGGGAAACGCCATCTCTACTAAAAACACAAAAATTGGTCAAGGGGACAGGCTCATATCCCAGCTACTTGGGAGGCTGAGTGGGCAGAGCCACCTGCTTGAATTAGAGGGGGAGGTTGCAGTGAGCTGAGACTGCGCCATTGTACCTCCAGCCTGGGGACAGAATAAGATTCTGTCTAACAACAACAACAACAACAACAACAACAAAAGAAGAAAAGAGAAAGAAAGAAAGAGAAAGAAAGAAAGAAAGGAGGGAGGGAAGGAGGGAGGGAGGGAGGGAGGGAGGGAGGGAGGAGAAGGGCAGCAGGCAAAGAAAGAGCAGAGCAGCAGCAGCAGCAGCAGCAGTGCAGCAGCAGCAGCTGTTGTTGTTGTTGTTGTTGTTGTTGTTGTTGTTGTTGTTGTTGTTAAAGAAAGAAAGAAAGAAAGAAAGAAAGAAAGAAAGAAAGAAAGAAAATGAGGCAAAGAAACCCTGGGCTGTCTCTAAGTCTCCAGTCTTTGGAGCCTGAATCCTTCCCTGACAGCTCTGTCCTGAATTTGAGGAATGAGGCCCTGGGGGCAGGATTGGCCCGGGAACCTCAGGCTTATCTCAGCACAGTGGAGCTAAGATCACAGTCCTTGGGACGGAGCTGGGGCTGCAGCTACCTGCAGGCTGGAGAAGCATTTTGAGCTGGAAAAGGCACGAAAGCTGGGGGAAAGGCACGTGCAAGAGGGCGAAGGCCTGAAAAGCGAGGCTTCCCACCAATTCATACTCACACTTCCAGGCTGGGCCCCTTTGGTGTCTGCAGCCCTTTTTGCCCCTGTCCCTGTCACCTCCTTAGAAATGCCTGCCCCGACCATGCTCTGAGATTCTCCAGTAACCTTCTTCCATTTTCTTTTCTTTTTTTGAGATGGAGTCTTGCTCTGTCGCTCAGGCTGGAGTGCAGTGGTGTGGAGTAGCTGGCATTACAGGTGCACACCACAACAGCCGGCTAATTTTTGTATTTTTAGTAGAGACGGAGTTTCACCATGTTGGCCAGGGTGGCCTAATTTTTGTATTTTTAGTAGAGACAGTATTTCACCATATTGGCCAGGCTGGTCTCTCAAACTCCTAACTTCAGGTGATCTGCCTGCCTCGGTCTCCCAAAGTGCTGGGATTATAGGCGTGAGCCACCAGGCCCTGCCATAATGCAATTTTTTTTCATTTTTTGAGACAGAGTCTCACTCTGTCGCCCAGGCTGGAGTGCAGTGGCGCTATCTCAGCTCACTTCAAGCTCTGCCTCCCAGGTTCACACCATTCTCCTGCCTCAGCCTCCCGAGTAGCTGGGACTACAGGCACCCACCACCATGCACGGCTGATTTTTGTATTTTTAGTAGAGACACGGTTTCACTGTGTTAGCCAGGATGGTCTCGATCTGCTGACTTTGTGATCCACCTGCCTCGGCCTCCCAAAGTGCTGGGATTATAGGCGTGAGCAACTGTGCCCAGGCCATAATGCAATTTTTTAAAAGAGATAGGATCTTGCTCTCTTGCCCAGGCTGGAATGCAGTGGAGTGATCATAATTTTATTTATTTATTTATTTATTTATTTATTTATTTATTTATTTATTTATTTGAGACAGAGTCTTCTTGCTCTGTCACCTCGGCTAGAGTGCAGTGGCATGATCTCAGCTCGCTGAAACCTTCGCCTCCTGGGTTCAAGTGATTCTCCTGCGTCAGCCTCCAGACTAGCTGGGACTACAGGTGCACACCACCATGCCCCGCTAATATTTGTATTTTTAGTAGAGACAGGGTTTCACCACGTGGGTCAGGCTGGTCTCAAACTCCTGACTTCAGGTAATCCACCTGCCTCAGCCTCCCAAAGTGCTGGGATTACAGGCATGAGCCACCGTGCCCTGCCTAATGTAATATTTTAAAAACTCATGCAAAAGAATTGCTGATGAGCAATATATAAAGGCTTTAAATAAGCTGGGCATGGTGGCTTGTGCCTGTAGTCCTAGCTACTCAGGAGGCTGATGTGGGAGGTTCACTTGATCCTGGGAGGACAAGGCTGCAGTGAGCTAGGATGGCACCCCTGCACTCCAGTCTGGGTGACACAGTGGACTCCATGTTGAAAAAAAAGATGCCGGGCACATGGCTCACGCCTGTGATCCCAGCACTTTGGGAGGCTGAGGCGGGAGGATCACCTGGGGTCAGGAGTTGGAGGCCAGACTGGCCAATATGAGGAAACCTCCTCTCTACTAAAAATACAAAAATTAGCCGGGCGTGGTGGCGGGAACCTGTAATCCCAGCTACTCGGGAGGCTGAGGCAGGAGAATCGGTTGAACCCAGGAGGCAGAGGTTGCAGTGAGCTCAGATTGCGCCATTGTACTCCAGCCTGGGCGACAGAGCGATACTCCATCTCAGAAATAAAAATATTTTAAAACATTTCTAAATGTTGATGTCTGAGTTTTTTTGGCGTCCCTATAAATTTTGTTTTCGAGGCGAGAACTTCATTGGCCTCAACCTATTCCGAGTCCCCAAGTGAATGAAACCTGAGTTTGGCTCCGCCCACAGACCAGCAGACCACGCCCGTCGATCTATCAGCCCCGCCCCCTGAGACTAGGCCCCGCCCCCGGAACGCTAGTCCCGCGGTCGCTCTGTTCCTGCAGCCCCCAGCGCTCTCCTGCGCGTCACTTCCGGGGCGGTGGCGAGAACGAGGCTCACTTCCGCCCGCGGGGGAGCTGCGGCTGTGGCGGCGCAGGAGGCCGGGCCGGGGCGCGGAGGGACCGACGGACGCACGGGCGGGCGGCCGGGAGCCATGGAGCGCGGCCCTGGGGCCCCGGGGCGCGGGCCGAGGTGGTGAGTACCGGGCAGGGGCGGGCGCGGCCGCGCGGGGTGGCCTCGGTCCCGGCCGCGGCCGTTTGGGGACCCTGGCCGGGCCGCGAGGGCCTGGCAGCCCAGTTGGACGCCCCCGATTCCCCTGCAGTCCCAGGGCTGCCGCGGGTCCTGCCCGAGGAGCCCGGAGCAGGGGCGGGGACCGCGGGTGAGCGTTTGTGATTGGGAAAGCACTGTCCCCATCCATTCAGCTCTCCGACGTGGGTTGCGCTCCCACCCTCCTGCGGACGCGGCCCCTGCCTTCGGGGATCGCCCTTCCGAGCCGTGGACTCCGTTCTTTTACCCCGAAACTGCCCCCAGCCCTACAACCGCTTCGTCCTCTGGGCCCCCCTGGCAGCTCCCAGGGGCCCTGCCGAGCCCCGCTTCCCAAGCAGCTCCCAGTTGCTGTTTCTCTTGTCAGGCGTCTTCCTGCCGCCTTGACTCCTGGGCAGGCTTCCCGGCCTCCGCTCCTGTCCGTTCCCCGGGATGCAGCCCTTCTCCTGTGTTGTCCATCCACTGCTCGGGACTTCTCCGTGGCCCCGCCATTTCTCCCAAGATGAAGTGCAAACTCCGCAGCAGGGCTCTCGGGGGCGCGACCTCACCCGTCCCAGACTCTCTCTTGGGACCCATCTGCTCACTTCTTCCTCCCAGGGTCTGCTCTAGCCAGGAGTCTACTCTGTCACCTCTGAGGTTTTGCCCCTGCTTGTCCCTCTGTCCCATCCCGTCACCTGGCCCGTTTATCTGCCCTGTGATATGGCCGCACCTCCCCCCAGGCGGGATTCCCACCCTGACTGGTTGAGTGAGGTGCCGTCATCGTCTCCCATATGTAGGTCATCTTCCAGTATTTTGGCTGCTTGGTTGCTTACTGGTCCTCAGAACACCTCTAGCTCGCAGAGGGGTGCCCAGTTACGTGCTTGGGAACGGAATTGGTGGGATTCAGGGTGTCAAGGGTGTGTGCTCAGTCAGTGAAGCGTCCGGGTTTGCACTCCCCAGTCCATGCCCATTAATGACACTAGGGAGCTTCCAGGTACCTGTGGCTGGAGAGGAGAGGAGACTAGACTTTCCCTTCCCTGTCAAAGCTGTCAGACCTTGGGGATTCTTTTCCTCCTGTGCTTCCTCCCTAATTCTTTGCTGCCTACCACCTGCCCATTCCTTTAGCGAGTGGCAGGTCATGGTCCTGCTCTCATGGAGTTTCTGGTTTGGGGGTGGGGGGAGATCTGGCCGAATGTGTGAAAAATACAAGCTGTGGAAAGAGCGTATAAGGGGTCCTGTCCCAGCTTTGAGGACTCTGAGAGCGTTGTTGGCAGCGAGGTGCAAAGGGTGGTTGGGATGGGCAAGGCTATTTAGTGAGGTTGGGGAAGGGAGTTCCCGGCAGGGGAGCAGAGGCAGGAAGGAGCAATGTGGCTTGTCTTAGGAGAGCCAGGGGTGGCAGGGTGTGAGATGAGTGAGTCTGGAGAGGTTGGCCTGAGCCGGAATGCAGACCTGGCAGTCTGTGGGGAGGACTTTGATCTCTATCCAGAGAATAATGGGAGGCCCCCAGGACACCCCAAGCGGGAAGCGGCACCATTGCATTTGTGTCTTGAACAATTGTTTGGCTGCTGGGGGAGAATGTCCTGGAGCAGGTGATCAGCAAGGAGTGAGGCTGTTGCTGTAGCTCTGGTGAAAGGTGATGGAGGTGGTGACTAGGCGGTGGCTGATGGGAGACAGGCAGAGCCACTGGGCTGGTGATGGACCGGCTCAGATCCGGTGGGTGGAAGGAGGTGTCAAGGATAGCATCTTTGTTTCTGTCGTGGTTAATGGGGCCCTGGCCACCTCGGTGTGCCCCTTGGTCTCTGGGGTCTCCAGGGGCCTGCTATTGCCCGCTGGGCTCTCAGGACCCAGCTGCATGATGCCACCTAAACTGCAGGGCCCTCTAAGCCCCTGGCACCAGCAGGGCAGCACCGATAGGGCCCGGACTTCTTTGAGAATATGTTGAAAAGCTGACATCAACCTCAATGCTGTGGATGTTGGGCCTGATCATTCTTTGGGGTGGGTCTGTCCTGGGCACTGCAGTGTGCTAAGCAGCCTCCACCGAGTCCCCAGTGGTGACACCCAAAACTGTCTCCAGACATTGACAGGTGTCCCCGGGGGGAAGATTTGCCTCCATCTGAGAAGCAGAACCAGCATGACAGTCCGCCTCCCCCCTGAGAAGTGCTTGCCTGTGAGAGTTGCCTCCCGCCTGGGAGTCTGGGGGCGCTGTGATGCCATCCTTGCCCCACCCTGGCTTTCAGAGCTCTCTCCTCTCCTCGTGTGCCCGTGAGGCCGGCTCACAGGCACGTGTGGGTCTCACACAGGTCTTGAGGGAGCAGGTGTGTTTCTGGGCCTGAGGCTGCTCCTTGGTGGTGAGGGTGTCCCCACGAGCCGTGTCTGTGGCGCCTGCAGCCGCCTGCGTGTCCATCTGTGTCCACATCTGCCTTTGAGCCTCATCTTCTGGCCCCACGGTTTTCTCATGCTGCGACCCCAAAGCCCAGCGTTCCAGGGTGTTCTGCTGCTGAAATTGAGTTGTGGGCGTGTCTCCCTCCTCGCTCCCGTCTGAAGGAGAAGCCTGGTCGGTAGATAGACGCCTCAGACCTTTGTGTTTTCTTCACGTCTGTCTGTTGGCAGCTCCTTACACTATTGTGCTTGCTTTAGCAACTGAGCTGTTGTCGACTTAATGCGTTTCATGACGTTCTGTAGCAAGGAAGAAAGTCCGAGTTTCCACTCTGAATCAGGCGCCTTCGCTCCCCTCCCCCCTCACTTGACTTCCTGTGGGGTATGTGGTGTCTGTGCCTATAGATGAGGACACTGAGGCTTCAGGAGGGCAAGTGACTTGCCCAAGGTCACGGAACCCTAAATCAGCTCTGGAGAAGGAACCCCTGACCCCAGCCCGCCTCCCCTGCCCCTCAGCAGGCCTGGCCCCAGCACAGAGAAGAGCCATTGTCGCCGCTCTCAGGGCCCTGGGAGCCTGGGATGTATCCTGCCTTTGTTTCTAGAGCCTTTGTTTGTTATATTTCCTCTGTCTCCAGACATCGCAGGCCGGTGGGGCCTGGCCCCTGTGCACGCTCACGTAGCGGGGCCTGTTCGGGTCCCTCATCGGTCCCTTGAGTCCGAGCTCTGTCCTTGCCTCAGCGGCAGAGATGGGCTGGGGAGGGAGTGGGCAGCAGTGCGGACCGAGTCCTGGCGCATGGGGGTTTCACCTGGTGCTGGAGCCCGCGTTTGGGGGGTGGGCGGGGCTGGGGTCATATCCCCTGCGTGCCCTGCATGTCCAGGCTGTGCTCACATGGCAAGAGGTGGTGATCGCCAGCTGAGGGAGGGTGGGGGGTCCTTCATCCCGTGGAGAGGGGGCTGAATTGGGGTTCCCTGAGCTGTAGGGTGCAGTGCCTGACAGGCCGCGGGGAGGGCTGAGGGGATGGGATGGACAGGCCCCGGGCCCATGCCGCCCCCTGGCACGGGTGGATGCCCCGCCTCCTGGGGGTGCCCAGCTGGACCGTGGTACCCCCAAAGGACCCCACATGCCACTGTTCCCCCGCAGGGCTTCCCACGGCACGACATGGAGACCTGTGGTCGCAAGGCTCCCTGGGGCTCGGCTTGGACCGCGATGGGGCTGGGCCCTGGCCTCCTAACGGGGCTCCTGTCTGGGGCGGTAGCTGGGGGGGCGCCCTCCCCCCTGCCCGCAACTCGGAGCACCCCCACCCCTCCCCTGCTGGGCCAGGCCGGGTGGCGTTGTTGGCGGGGGCCCTGGTGGAGGCCCGGCCCGGGCGGCGCCCGCCATGAACGGGCTGTCGCTGAGTGAGCTCTGCTGCCTCTTCTGCTGCCCGCCCTGCCCCGGCCGCATCGCTGCCAAGCTCGCCTTCCTGCCACCGGAGGCCACCTACTCCCTGGTGCCTGAACCCGAATCGGGGCCTGGTGGGGCCGGGGCCGCCCCCTTGGGGACCCTGCGGGCCTCCTCGGGTGCACCCGGGCGCTGGAAGCTGCACCTGACGGAGCGTGCCGACTTCCAGTACAGCCAGCGCGAGCTGGACACCATCGAGGTCTTCCCCACCAAGAGCGCCCGCGGCAGCCGTGTCTCCTGCATGTATGTTCGCTGCGTGCCTGGCGCCAGGTGAGCAGCTGTGGCCACGCCCGGGCTGGGTCACCCTCTTCTTGGGGCTCCCATTTCTGCCCCGGGTGCTTGGTGTGGTTGGTGGTGCCCCAGAGGGCCTGAGCCTGCTGTGAAGGGCCATCCAGCTGGCATGGGTGGTGTCCCCGGCAAGGCTGGCCTCATCCCTCCAGCGATTTCCTCTCGCAGACAAGGACACCAGGCTCAGGGAGGCCATCCCCAGCTGGCATGGTTGGGCAGGCCGGGCGACTCCAGCGACCCAGCTCCTGGTGGTTGCCTGCTGGGGTGGGGCACAGGGGCCGCCCTGACCTGTGGGTACATCCGCCTTCTTGCCAGGTGGGGTTCTGACCAGATCTGAGTCTAGAGAGCGAGCCTTTACCTTCTGGCTGGGCTGGGCAGGGTCCTGGGGGAACTGGAGGAAGCAGTCCATGGTAGGGCCAGCCTGGCCGCCTGCTCCTGGCACCACCTGGGGCAGCTCCCGTGCTGGGAAGCAGACAGGCCTTGCAGCACGGCCTCGGGGCTTGGGCAGGGTGGCGGGGCAGGAGGGGCTGCGTGAATGTGAGCAGGGATTGGGCATTTGCTTGTTGGGGGCAGGGGTGGGGTCCAGTTGTCCCCAACAGTGAGGGCACCATTCTGTGAGGGGTGGGCAGATAGCCCTGCCAGCAGCAGCACGGTCTTCCCTGGGAAGGTCCTGAAAGGTGGGCCTGTATGCTCCATCCCCGGGAGTCCCGGCTCTTCCAGGAGGAAGGGCTCCAGGGCAGCGAGACCTGCAGCATCCGGGCACACACTGCACGTCTGCCCAGAGAGAGGATGTGACCAGTGGTCCCAGTGTCCCGCTTCACAGATGGGAGTCCTGAGGCTCCCTGGCTGGCCTCTCTGCAGCCCAGGCTGCCTGTACCCCTGCCGGCTCTCCTGTTCTCTCCCCATGGGGACCCCCCCGGAGATAGAGCTGTGCTGTCGTACCCTCCCCTGTCCATTCACTGGCTTTGGGCCCCCTTGGGAGGGGAGTAAACAAGGCGCTGGGCATGGCTGGCCTCCGGGGTGGGCTGTCAGTATGCGTCCTCCTGCCCTGCAGCTGGGCGCTGGGAATGAGGATGTGAGCGGCCCTTCCTGGCCTGCCCCAGGTACACGGTCCTCTTCTCGCACGGCAACGCTGTGGACCTGGGCCAGATGAGCAGCTTCTACATTGGCCTGGGCTCCCGCCTCCATTGCAACATCTTCTCCTATGACTACTCCGGCTACGGTGCCAGCTCGGGCAGGCCGTCCGAGAGGAACCTCTATGCCGACATTGACGCCGCCTGGCAGGCCCTGCGCACCAGGTGAGGGCAGCCCTGGAGGCAGCTCAGCCTGGGCACACGAGAGAGGGGACTAGGTTGGGGGCCGGGGGGGCGGGCTTCCCTGGGAGGAAGGTGGGCGGCCCTGCAGCAGAGGAGCCACAGTGGACGCACAGGGCCAGAGAGCCAGACAGGCGAGCTCGGGTGTGTGGGTGCCGCCTCCACGTGGCCGAGGTGTGGCCAGGCGGTCCTCCTACACCCTGGCGTGTGACGCCAGGCTTCCTGGGAGCCCCTGGCCTGAAGATGGGAAGGGGCTGAGCTTGTCACAGGGGCGTGGATGCCACCTGGCGGGAGGGGTTCGTGGTGTTTGGGGGTCTGCACATGTGGTTGGGAGCCCATCGGCTGAGGCAGCACTTGGGGCCAGGTGCAGCGAGGCTGCTGCATCCAGGTCCCGAGGCCTGGCCCATGAGGCCCTGTGGCTGTGGAGCTCGGCTGTCCCGGGGCAGGGTCAAGGTCTGGGCCAGCCTTGATTCCAGATCCAGCCCTCCTGGCTATCCAGGTCCCCAGCCCTGCGCTTGCCTGGGCTCTTCACCGGTGTTTGAACACTGCCCGGGCCGGTGCTGCTTTGGACGAGGAGACCCGGGTGGGCCTCTGGAGGCCTTTCCTTCTCACCACCCACTGGGGCTGTCTCGTCCTGGCCCTGCCCAGCCCACTGGTCTGACCTGCTCCCGCAGGGACCAGGCGCAGCTCTGAGAAGTCAGAGGCCCTGGGGAGGTGGGGTCCTCATTGCCTTGGCGATATCCCAGGCAGTCCCTGCTGTGGGCCTGGGAGCTGGGTACCCTGGCACCACCCTGGCTCTGGGGGCCTCCCGGCAGTGTGGGGCACTGACACCGACCACCGCTTCATGCGGCTTCCTCGGCCCCTCCTGTCTACTGCCCGGGGCACTGGCAGAGTCACACCTGCCATGGCCAGCTCTGAGCTCTGTCTGCTCGGCCATCTGTCCTGCTGCCGCTTTGTCCTGCAGGAACTTAGGCCCAGAGCTGTGAGGGGGAGGCCAGAGTGTGCCCAGGGCCTCCACTGGGGATGTGTTCTGTTGTTTGAGTGGTGACGTCCAGGTGGCAGCTGGGGTCTCCTGCCTGGAGCAGGTGACGGCTGGGCTGACTCAGCACACTACTGGCCATGGCTGCTAGGGAGCAGGCCAGGGAGGCTGGGGCAGAGCTGGGGCCGCAGGCACAAGTCAGGCCGCACCCTTTGGGGCATGGGTGAGTGCTGAGCTGGAGTACTGCCAGGAGACTGGGGTTCCAGGCCAGGGACAGGGACAGGCTTGCTGGTGGAGTCCGAATGCCAGCCAGACGGGACACACACCTGCCCATGCTCCTGCCTCACAGGAGGGCAGCTGCCTGGAATCAGAGCCTGGAGCGTGTTGGGGGGAGAGTTGTGGGGTCCCGGCATGGGCAGGGTGGCAGGCGGGTCCCGCATGGTTGGGACTGGGCACGAGGAGGCCTTGGAACTGGTGCTGGATCAGCTGGGCCAGGGGCCGCACACCAGTGACCTGGGGGTGGGGGTGGCCCTGGGTGGGAGCTGGTGGTGCTGAGGTGGCCGAGGACTTGTCCACTCCCAAGGGAAGGTGCTGGTGGGAGGAGGTGCCACCCCCGCAGCCACCACCCTTGATGCTGACCTGGGTTGCACTGGCACCTCACTGGGTGTGGGGACTCTGAGAGTCCAAAATTGGGTGGAGACATCTGGGGACACAGCTGCCTGAATTCCTCATGGCCAAGGGGGTGGGCAAGGGCTGCAGGGAGGAAGAGTATCCCCTGTCCCGGCCAGTGCACTAGGAACGGCTTTCTAACCCGGGCAGGAAAGCGTGAAACATTCAGGATATGGGGGGCACACACTTGCCAGTGTGCGCCTAGGGGTGACCGGGAGGAGGAGAGGCGCCAGGGCCTCCCCTACCCCAGCCCCAGGGTCACTCCGTAGGCGGGATCCCAGCAGATCCTGGCGAGGAAACGCCAGTGAATGGCAGCGCCGGGGAATGGGGCGGGGCCGCTGGCTCCGCCCACCGCTGCGGTGATTGGGGGATGGGGGAGGCCCTCGGGACTGGTGTGGAGCGTGGGCCTGACCCACTGACTTGGCTGAGCGGGGAGACTGGAGGGTCGCATCCGGAGCTGGGCCCGGGGACGCCCGCGGGCGGGAAGGGTGCGCGCGCGTCGGAGACCGCGGCTGACCCTGCTCCGGCGCCGCCAGGTACGGCATCAGCCCGGACAGCATCATCCTGTACGGGCAGAGCATCGGCACTGTGCCCACCGTGGACCTGGCCTCGCGCTACGAGTGCGCCGCGGTGGTGCTGCACTCACCGCTCACCTCGGGCATGCGCGTCGCCTTCCCCGACACCAAGAAGACCTACTGCTTCGACGCCTTCCCCAAGTGAGCGGGCCGGGGCGGGGACGGGGGCGGGGAGGGGCCCGGACTGGGCGCGAGGTCTCACCCGTCCGACGCCCCTCCCGCAGCATCGAGAAGGTGTCCAAGATCACGTCGCCCGTGCTCATCATCCACGGCACGGAGGACGAGGTGATCGACTTCTCGCACGGGCTGGCCCTCTACGAGCGCTGCCCCAAGGCCGTGGAGCCGCTGTGGGTGGAGGGCGCCGGGCACAACGACATTGAGCTCTACAGCCAGTACCTGGAGCGCCTGCGCCGCTTCATCTCCCAGGAGCTGCCCAGCCAGCGCACCTAGCGGCGGCCGGGGCCCCAACCGGCCGGACCTCAGCAATAAGGCGGCCCCCGGACCTCACCCCGCGCCGGCCCCCCAGGGGCTGCATGTGGACCCCCGGGCGGCCCAGGGGACCCCGCCCCGACCCAGGGGCCGTGGACGATGTACAGGCAACAGAGCTACGCACTCCTTTCCTTTTGGAAGCAAGAAGACAATACGTGAAAACGGAAATTAAAGATTTAAAATTTTAGGACTGCTCTCTTTCCTTTCATGGCTCTGCTCACTCTCTCGAGGGCTCAGCGAGCTCGAAAGGGGGCCGGGGTTCCCAGGTTTCGCCCCTGCGTCCCCAGGAAAGATCGGCGCGGACCCCCTTATGAGTTTTACCCTCTGTGGAAGCGGGGTGGGTCTCGGTCTAGTCCGGGGGGCCCTTAGGGAGCTGGTTGCCTGGGTGGTGATGGGTCGGGGCAGCATTTGAGCCCAGGACCCCTGCCTACCTCCTGCGGAGGCTGGTGAGCTCTGCTGGGTGGGCGCGATGAGGACGCCAGGCGTGGGGGTCCTGCTGTCATCGCGGGACCACCCCCTCGACAGCTTCCCATCAGTCGTACTGCAGAGAGGCCAGGCCAGGGCACTCTGGGTCCTGAGGTGCCGCGCTTGACGGACTCCAGAGCTCAGGCAAGCAGGCCGCCTCCTTTGTAGATGGCGAAGCTGGGGTCCAGCAGAGGGCGGTGGCAGGTGCTTGGGCCCCAAGGGCCTCCTCTGGAAGAGGGAGCCGACACTGGAGCTGGGGTCACGAGAAGAGTTCCTACGATCTCTAGGGCAGAAGCCCTAGGACTGGGAGGACTCGGGAACCGGTGGCCTGTCGTCCACTTTACGATTGGGCAGGGTTCAGCCTGTGTCGCGCGACCAGGCGGTGGCGAGGCCGGGACCCCAAGCTGCCTCCAAGTAGCTCTAGTCCGCGGCTCCTTTAAGGGAGGGCGGTGCTTCAGCCTGGGCGAGAGCAGGGCGCCGCGTCACCTGCGGGGCCGCGGCACTGACGGAAGCGGAAGTGGTGGCGCGCGTGCGGAAGTGGAGATGGCGGCGGAGGCTGGAGTCAGGCTGTGGACGAAGAGGCGGTCTCGGTGGTAAGTGGCGGCTGCTGGGACCCAGCCAGGGACCCGTCCGCTTCGGCCCTGCCCGTTTCTGGCCCCTCCCACGCCTTCCCTCCGCCTAGAGTTCCTCGTGGGCGCGTGGAGGCCGCCGCGGGGTCGGTGCTGCGAGGCATCGCCCGCCGTTCCATGGGAAGCGGTGCGACAGGACGTTCGGAAGGAAATCTCGCTAGAGCAGGGAATGCCTGGGCTCCTGGCTGCCCACGGGGCCTTTGCACGGCCTGGACTTTGCGACCGCAGTGGCCTCCTTCTGTCCCCGGTCGTGCGCCGTGTGCCCCAGCGCGGCTGACGTTTCGGAACACGTCTGACTTTCATGCCCGCCGAAGAGCCTCCCCGCATCCCGTGCCCCCTGCTCGCTGCTGCCGCTGACCCTTGGGCGTTGCGCTCGTCCAGAGCGTGTTGTCTTCTGACGCCGTCAGAACCTAAGCTCTCTGCGAGCTGGGACTCCGCCGTGTCCTCACTGCCGCCAGTGCAAAGCAACTGCTTGCAAGAGAACAAAAGTGTGTTCAGGCGCACAGGGTAGAAAATTCAAGGAGCCTGAAAGGGTGTTTGGTGAAGACTTGATGTGTTTTTCCCAGTCCTAACCTCCGAGGCCCAGTTCTTCTCCCCTGGGGCAGAGAGAAACCCGTTTCTTACGTGTCAACAGAGAAAGTCTATGCAGGAACATGTACATGCGTTTCTGCAAAAGGTCAGTTTCTTTACTTGGGGTCCTTATACTTAATGTAGCTTAGGGGGCGCCCATATATTCAGATACAGGTGGGATTAACACGGAAACGGAGTTTTATAGCTCCAGAATTTATCCCCTTTCCTGTGGAAATTTAGGGTCTTTTATAACGAACAATGCTAACTTGACTATTCCTTGTACAAACCCTTTTTTGCCCAAGTCGGACTATTAGGCTAAATTCCTTGGTGCAGAAGTGCTAGGGGCTTATTTAGGCCCCTAAAGGGGTGGTACCAAATTGCCCTCCCCCACCAGCATGTAAGAGGGGGCCAGTGACATCTTGCCCAAGCTGGATTTTGTAGACCTGGTAGGCATGAGATAGTGTTTCACTGTAGCTTTAGTTGTATTTCCTGTAAGTATAATGAAACATCGTAATGCTCCTGTCACATCTATTTTACTTTGATGATTGTTACCACTGATAATCATTTCGAGATTGGAAAATATATTTATTATAAACGTTTGACTATTTAAAAGCCATTTGTAGTTTATCTTTTTGGCTCATTTTTGTGTTGGGTGGATGGTGGTGGTTTCTAGGTGCACTTTACAGATTAAGGAAATTCACCTTTTGTCTAGCAGAAGTGTTTGTTTTTTCTATCTGTCATTAGGTCTTTGACTTTGTGTGTATTTTTTTCTATAAGCCAGTTATCTAAAATTGTTACTGGTCATTAGTTTTTTTCCCTTTACGGCTCCTGCATTTTGGTGTCATCTCAGGAATATCTTCTCCTCTGTAAGATTATAAAACATTTGAGGTTTTCTTCTGGAAATGTAGTGTTGTTTTTTTTTCCCCCTCATATATTTAAATGTTTACATCTAATTTTAGAAAATATTCCTGGTAAGGCCGGGCGCGGTGGCTCACGCCTGTAATCCCAGCACTTTGGGAGGCCGAGGTGGGCAGATCACGAGGTCAGGAGATCGAGACCATCCTGGCTAACACGGTAGAACTCTGTCTTTACTAAAAATACAAAAAATTAGCCGGACGTGGTGGCGGGCACCTGTAGTCCCAGTTACTCGGGAGGCTGAGGCAGGAGAACCCGGGAGGCAGAGCTTGCAGTGAGCGGACATCGCGCCACCGCACTCCAGCCTGTGTGACAGAGCGAGACTCTGTCTCAAAAAAAAAAAAAAAAAAAAAAGTATTCCTGGTAATAAGTAAGGTAGGAAGCAAAACTTTTTTCCCCAAATAGTCCCAACTTTATTTCCCAAAAAAGCATTCTTTTCGCCACTGAAGTGCTGTCTTTATGGCAAGCGGATTCGGGTCTGTCTCCAGACTCTTATCCCAGTTTTCCAGAACCCCATTGTCTTTATGACCCACTGTCTGGAGGCCCCACCTCCCTGCATTATTTTGCACATTTCTTTTTTTCTCCTGGACAGCAGGCAAGTTTATCTGGTTCTCCCACCGTGGTGATCTTCTTTGAAAACATTGAGATTGCTTAGATTCTTTTTTTTTTTTTTTGAGATGGAGTCTTGCTCTGTCCCCCTGGCTGGAGTTCAGTGGCGTGATCTCGGCTCACTGCAAGCTCCGCCGCCCGGGTTCGCGCCATTCTCCTGCCTCAGCCTCCTGAGTAGCTGGGACTACAGGCGCCCACCACTGCGCCCGGCTAATTTTTTTTTGTATTTTTAGTAGAGACGGGGTTTCACCGTGGTCTCGATCTCCTGACCTTGTGATCCGCCCGCCTCGGCCTCCCAAAGTGCTGAGATTACAGGTGTGAGCCACCGCGCCCGGCCATGAGATTGCTTAGATTCTTAGATTTATGGATCAAACTGAGATAAAATTCTCATCTTAAAATAGTTGACAACTTCAGCTGATCCATGTGGTACGAGTTCCACACGACACTGTGGTGAAGAGGATTTTGGAAACCTCCGTATTTGGGGCCACCCCTCCCGCCCTGCGGGCTGTAGATATTCCCCGTGGGTGATGCTGACCTTGGTTTCAGGCAGCCGCATTCTCAAGCTACTGCGAACTCGGAGCTGAGGCTTCGGGAGGGCTCCCAGACGCCCGCAGCGTACGCGTCTGTGTTCCCTCAGCCTGCCCCCCTCACATGGGGTAAACTGAGTCCGGGCCTTCAGGCTGCAGGCTCTCAGGCCAACTTCTACCCTCGACCTCTCCCCACCACCCCCTGCTCTTGGGACCCGGGAGGACCCTGCAAGGGCGGTGACAGGGAAGGCCAGCGCTCTGTTCCAGGATGCATGCTCTCCCCACCTCCCACTTGGTATGGCCCAGGGCCAGGCCACCTGGGAGCAGAGCCAACTTCCCGTTCTCCATTTTGTGTATTTTCCAGGACACACTTGTTGGAGCTCGGCAGCAGCCTTCTCCCGGGTAGGCGCCTGGGGGCTGAATCTCTGGTCCACCTTGTGTCACCTGCACCTGGTACACCCCAGGGCGGGCCCCTGGGTGCCGGAACAGACAGCAGCCAGGTGACGCTGTGGCCTAGGCCCAGTCTGGTTACCCGGAGCCCTGGGAGGGGCTGGGAGGCTGACCCTGCCCAGGGCCAGTGCCTGGAGCATGGTTGCTGTGGGTGTGGCAGAGGCTTGCCTGAGATGTGGGCTAGGCCCTTCCAGTGGGTCAGGTCTGGGGTGGTGCCCAGGGCTGTGCACCCTCAGGCTGCTGCCCAGTGGACCAGTGGCCTGTCAGCCCCGACTGGCATTCACGGGGTCCCAGCATGGGTGTGTGGGCGGCTGACCCAGGCTCTTATGATGCTGTGGCTGTTGTTTGTCCGTCGTCCCATTAATGCCAAGCTGGTAGGACCCACCTGGCTGACTGTGTTCTGCATGACCCGAGGGCCCACTGGGGTTCTGGAAGAGGATGGAGACCATCCCTGCTTGGCTGTGATTCCGTCCTCTTGACCTGTGGTGGCTGTGACCTGAAGTGGGGCCTCTGGGAGCAGGCACCGCCTCTCCTCCCGCATGGCGGGCACCTGCCTGTCCACCTCTGAATCTCGGTGTCAGCATCAAGGTAGGAGTGCAGGCCGGCTTGTTAACTGGAATTCCGTCCAGCGGGCGCCCAGCCAGTGTCAGAGTGGCCCAGGGGCCACCACGAGGCCCTGGTCCCGCTTCCCTCCCGGTTTCGGGCTCCAGCCACGGGCCACGTCGATCTTCACACGACTCTGGACTGCTGGGGTCACTGTCCCTGCTTCCCCACCGAGAGAAGTAGCCGAGACCCCGACCAGGCCTGCGCTTCCTTGGCACTCAGCATCTCCTAGCCACGACAGCACCGGTGGCTCAGAAATAAGGTCCCGGGACAGATGTGCCCGGCCAGACAGCGAGCTCTCCTGCCAGACCAGAGCCTGTTCTCTCCCCAGCACCCAGCCGGAAGCAGGGCTCGGAACAGGCACCGTGCGTGTCCGTGGAGGATGAGAGCGCGACTTTGGGACCGGCCCTACCCCACAG